TTGAAAAAATTTTTTATACAACCTCTATTTTCTAAGATATTTACGTAAATATCTTAGAAAATAGAGGTCGTATAAAAAATGTTTTCAAGCAAAAGTTGTTTGCATTTTTACGTTGAATAAAATGCCGTAATAAAAAATACGTATTTCTATTTAAAAAAGCGAAGTTGACCTTGTTCTGACCTTGGCGATGCCATCCTATGTCAAATAACTACTATCGTTGAATGCGTAAGCCTTACAACTTTTGTCTGAAACATTTTTCTCTAAAATGCTCTCCCGCCGAGTTATCTTGCCGTTCCGGTACTTTTGCTATATCCTGTATATATAAGTCGTATACATATATGCATTCAGCTAGCACAACACGAATCATACGTGTCTATAGAACACATTTTTCGTGTGTTATACCTACACGTTATGGCTCCTGCACACAGGACGCGGTAATGCTTTCCGCACGGCAAAAGTCCACGCGACAGCCAATCAATATGTTGTTTTTCCATAAGAGCTAGAAAGTTATTACGGGAAGCAGCATATTGATTGGCTGTCGCGCGAACTTGCGCCATGCGGCAAGCATTACCGCGTCCTGTGTGCAGAAGCCATTATTTTTCGTGTGTTATACCTACACGTTTCTTGCAAATCTACACACTTTCTTGTGTGTTGCATATTTACATACCTGCAAGCGTGCAAAACGACTACACGGATTACACACGTAAAATGTGTTAATGTAACATATTTGTTTTTACAGTATTCCCGTCTGCTTCCACACCCGTACAGGCAAAACCGGCAAAAAGAGATTGTGTTCGCTATCTCCGTCAAGCGCTCTTGACACCGACCTCGCCTTCCCGTCTGATTCCAACGACCGGCCAAGGAGTTCATGTGTTCGCGAACCCCATCGAGCATTCTCAGTACCGATTGTATCATATCTCGAACTGCAAGTACACGTGCCAGTATGTTCGTTGCGCTCGGTCGAACGTTGTCGACACTTGCATACATCGCGTCAGCGACAAACGAGTCGCCCGATATAGCGCCGCGTGCTAAGGGCCGTGGCACACAGAAAAACGTAAATAGTAAGCAAATTGACCAATCACAATCGTTGATTTTTGGACCGTAAGAAGAATCAATGACTGTGATTGGTCAATTTGCTTACTGCTTACGTCTTACTGCTTATATTTTTCTATGTGCCACCAGCTTAAGGCTGCGTTCCTTTTGGGTGCTCACGCGCTTTAAGCGCTTATAAGCGTCACTCTATCTTTTTTCCGCATCTAAGGAGCAATAAAGATAGAATGGCGCTTACAGTGCGTGAGCGCCCAAAAGGAACGCAGTCTAAAGCGTCTTCTACAATGGCAGTAGGAGTAGTAGTAAGAAATAAGCAGTAAGTAAATAGACCAATCACAATCGATTATTTTTGAAACGTGAGAATGGAATTGGTCAATTTGCTTACTGCTTATTTCTTACTACTACTCCTACTGCCATTGTAGAAGACGCTTAAGACAAGATCTTACCGCCGTTACCGCTTGGCCCCCGCGGCCACCGAATTTCCAAAGCCGCGACTCGCGAACGCCTCACAGCTTACCGACATCGTCTTCTGCGATACACCGCGTTCGCGCTATACGCTCCGTCTACCGAGTTGCGAGACACGTACTACCGAAACCGCAACCCGATTACTGGCGCCGTCTCACGTCAAAGCATCCGAGACATCGTATTCTACTCTGTATCAAATTATTAATATTAATAAACTATTAATAAACTTTTGTTATTTATTTTTGTTAATTGCTTATGTCAATCAATTATCGAACCCGGACTCTGATGAGCGAAATTCCTGGCGATTCCTTCGACAATCGACACGCGGCTACGGTTGTTACAATTTCTACGGCGAATTTTGTAAAAATACAAAGTTAACAGAAGTCGCAGTTTCCTATCGTTTTGATAAAAAAACAACGTGATCATGAAACAAAAAATTTTTAAAAATAAATTTTTTCAAAAATAATGGCAGCAACGCCGCGCGCATGTAAACACTCTACATCCGCCGTTATACCTTGACCGTTTAATTTCGACTGAATTATTACTGATTGCTGCACGATATAGATATACTTTCCAAATATACGAGAAATTGCTGATGACAGTCAGTTTATTAACCATGTCGGGAATGTTCGTAATGACTGATGGATAAACATTAATTCGTTGGAGAAAATGTAACTGGAAACGCAAAGTCAATTTCGCATGTGCGGCAATTATCGGTGGCAACACACGCGCACTATATTATATCGAATATATTAATAAAGTCTTTATGAGCGTATCGCTACGTATCGATAGAAAAGAGATGTTTATTCAATTAAGCAGAGCAATGTGTGTGTGTGTGTGTGTGTGAGGGAGAAAATATAGAATTGTCCAAATATTGTTAGAGGAGAATGAAAATTACACGTTATGTTTGTTGACATGTTCTCCGACACGGATGGCGATAACGTTTCGTATTTATTAGCGGACAAGCGAGACAGCCTCTATTGAAACTAATTAAAATGGTATGCATGAAAAATTATAATATAAACTTTCTCGCAAACATTATGTGGACTAATTTTATATTAATAGAAAATGTTTTTTTTCCGTTTCATGTGCTTTTTTCTGGAGACTCGTGTTGCGCTTACATATAATATAAATTTTCTTTTCTTATCGCTTACTTTTTGTTTTGCGTGTTCTATGTGTGTCGCACTTGCATTCCGTTTCATTTGTTCTTTCAAAATGTGTCCAATTTCAAGAAAATGTTACAATATTGTTAATGCCCAGAACTCTAGAAAATGTTTAAATATGCTGAGTATTATAAGATAACTATTTTTGGTAAACCAGAAATCCCTGATTTCGGGCAGCATATACACCTATTCTATTTAAAAATTCATAGTACTTAAAAGAAATAAATTTTTAAAAAGATGTATAACATTTTGTATCTTGACCTCTTTACAAAAGCACTTAAGTACGCTGAGGATTACACGATAACTATTTTATATAAACCAGAACTCCCAGGTGTTTTAACCAGCGTATTATTTTGTACTATGTTGGGTGCGCTGCGAGGAAATAATAAAAAAAAGAAATGATGCAACATTGTTAATACATAGAACTTTTTACAAAAAAATTTAACTCGGAAATTCACAAGAATTGTTATTACTTATATTTATAATCATTTTAGATAAACTGTAACTTTCAGATTTCTGTTAGCATATCTACTTATTTTGTTCAAAAGTTCGCTCGGACAAAAGACAAAGACAGAAACAGTCGAAATCATTAAATACCTACTAAATCTTCAATACAAGAAACATCAACAAAATTTTTCGTTTTCGCGAATTTTTTCCGTTTCATGTGCTTTTTTCTGGAGACTCGTGTTGCGCTTACATATAATGTAAATTTTCTTTTCTTATTGCTTATTTTTTGTTTTGCGTGTTCTATGTGTGTCGCGCTTGCATTCACCTGTTCTTTCAAAGTGTGTCCAAGATTACGTTTCTTTATCTACAAATTCGTTTCTCTTCATTGTTTTTGCTCTGTTTAATTGTTGTACCATATTTAGTTTCATAAGAAATCGTGTCATGTAGCGAGCTAATATTTGAGAACAACAAATCACGGGCTGCTCGATACAGAGCTCAAGCGTTCACACGTCTATCGCGTATCTCCGTATCTATTTATTTGCTATGCGAAATTCGTTAGAAGTAAAGGAGTAATACAAGGTCTCACACATTGTGACTCTTTCGTCTATGTTGGAATGTCAACAGCTGTTTATTACTTACATATTTAGTCAATTTATTCTTATTAGTTCCAACACGGGCGCAGGAGACAAATGTGTGTGAATCTTTTTCTATGCTGCTGACGGTGGAAGTTCGAGTTCGCAATTCGAAGTCAGACGGTACCTATTCCGAAATTACTCTATCGTGCATCGTGAGAAAACGTTGTCTAATAAAAGATCGGGCTGCAGTTATTACAAAGTATTCTGTAAATCAGAACCAATAAAGTTCACGGACAACTAAATGGCATAACGACGTGTCACGCTCCTTAGTCTATCGACCTTCCGCACTGTTCCCAGTGAACCGGCGTTAAAAGCGTGGATTCGCAGGAGCATTCACGAACAAAGTGTGAAATTTGTAATTGAGAAACATATAAATAATAATTACTTTTCGAAGTTTTGTATAATTAACTTCCAATTTAATCATAATTCCAAGAAGTATTTACATTTAATTTTGACTCCAATTAAAGTTCTCAAAAGTATTTGTATCTAAATTTGACTTCAATTGCAATCGTAAAAAGTAATTAGTAATTCGACAGCAATTTAATTACATAAGTGCTTAATTATTTACAACTCTGATTCTTTCTCATTGCACTTTATTTCGGTGTCGCGAACATGATATTTTGCGTCACGAGTATTTATCATATCGCATTTTCTTTCCAAGTTATTGTTATTATTGCCATTAATATTATTCTATATCACTAATAAATTGCGAAAGATTTATAACGCAATATTCCAAATAAAAAAACGTATTTAAGCCTTAAGCTTCAAGGTTCCCAATTGGTAATTACGGGAGGATAATCGTGTATAAATTAAATTATATAATTCAATTAATTAAATTGATTTTCATACTCTATATTGTCACTTCGACTTCTGTCATATCTGTTTACAACGTGAATGTGTCAGCAGTGTTTCTCAAGAAAAAATAAAATTGCAGTGTGCAACCAAGAATGAAATTGCAATTTCAATTGAAAAAATGAGTGACCATCGTTTAGTAACCGAGTGCAGCGCACTCGGACGAAATTAGAAAAAAAATATGACATAACTAATGACTAGAACTCTCTAAAAAATCTTCTTAGACTTAAAGTTAAATGCAACACATCTGCTCGGGAACGACCACTGTAATACAATTTATTTTGAAATTATTCGATTTGGTTTATATATAGCAGTAAAACTCGATTGCGCGATGATTTGTCCGAGGCATGTCCGCGCAATATCGAATATTAAATTTTTTAATTTTGGACAGCTTATGAGAAAAATATAACAGAAATAAAATATTGAATATGTCTGGAGTGCAGAAGAGGTCATTTCAATAGTACATAGTGATGGCGCCGGTTAGACTATGGCAAATATTCAATATCGTTTTATTCGAATGTGACTACAATACGTTTGTTGGTCAGAATGAGGCGTCGCTATTGTTGAATTCATTCAACCGCGATAACGAGTCAATATATTGGAAGTACAAATAAGTCTCCACCGTTCGACAAAAGATGGTCCTACTAGTAAGTTATGGTTGAAATTGTCAGATGTAAAACGTCATATCGTAAGGTTGGATATCTGGCAACACCATAACCTTGAAATATTAGCGATTTTGTATCAGCATCACATAATTTTTTTCGTGCGAAAATGTCGAGTTTTGAGCCGAATAAGCGTCATTTGCGGGAACTTTTGATTTACTTCTTTAATTTGAAGAAATTTGCAGCTGAGGCGCATCGATTGCTTGTAGAAGCATATGGTGAGGATGCTTTAAGTGAGAGAAGTTGTCGTGAGTGGTTTCAAAAGTTTAAGAACGGTGAGTTTGACGTCGAAGACAAAGAACGTAGCGGAAGGCCGAAAGTGTACGAAGACGCGGAATTGGAAGCATTATTGGAGGAAGATTCGTGTCAAACGCAAGAAGAACTTGCACTTACATTAGGAGTGACTCAATAAGCAATTTCACATCGTTTTAAATCGTTGGGAATCATTCAAAAGCAAGGAAATTGGGTTCCATTTGAACTGAAGCCGAGAAACGTTGAACGCCGATTTTGCACATGTGAAATGCTGCTTGCCAGGCATAAACGAAAGGGTTTTTTGCATCGTATAGTCAGTGGTGATGAAAAATGGATCCACTACGATAACCCAAAGAAGAGGAAATCATGGGGACTACGTGGCCATGCTTCAACATCGACAGCCAAGCCGAATATTCATGGAAAAAAACTCATATTGTGTATTTGGTGGGATCAGCTTGATGTCGTGTATTATGAGTTGCTCAAACCGAACGAAACCATTACTGGAACTCTCTACCGAACATAATTGATGAGATTGAGCCGAGCACTCAAGGAAAAACGCGCCCACTACTCCAGACACGACAAAATTATTCTCCTGCATGATAATGCTCGTCCACATGTTGCGGCGCGGGTCAAAACCTA